TCTATTTTTATAGATCTAGAAATGTACTGCAGCATGTAACAAAATAAAAATGTAATAACATTTAATGTTACTCCTAATAAAGTTCACCTGTCATGGCAATTTGGCAATAAAAAAAAAAAAAGAAAAAAAAATATTAATAGATTTATCAATATTTTTATTAATAAGTATATAATATGAAGAGTGTTTTCTTCTTTTATAAAGATGTTTAATTTAATTATAGTAATATATTTCTCAACCAATTTTTTCAATATATTCTTTTTCATAAATGTATAAAAAATAATTTTTTAATTTACAATATATGATTCCAAATTTATTATATAATTTTTTAACTTTAGTTTCTTTTTTTGAGCACATAGAATTTAAATAAATATATATATTATCTGATTGAATAATATTATATATTAAATAAAGTCTTAGGATCATCCATGGCAATTGCTAATCTCGTATGAGTATTAGGGTAGGGCATGTTACAAAAGTGATAGCCAGAGAATTTAAATAAGTAACTTCCTAGTTGGGTTATAGGTATGGTAGCTAGTGTGGAATCTAGAGCAGACTACTTAAATAGGCAATCAAAAGTTGTATGTATAGCTAGTCATACTCTTATTAAAAATAACCAGAGAGCTTAAATAGGTAATCTTCTAGTTAGATTGCAGGTATGGCAGCTAGTGCAGAATCTAGGCGGACTACTTAAATTAGGCATCCAAAAGGTGCATATATGGCTAGTTGTATTCTTATGAAATGGATGTAATATCATAACTACCTGAATAAAGCTTATACCAATAGCCTAAGTGGTCATTAAAAAAAAAAATAATATTATATATTAAATAAATATCTTTGCTTTTACTACCATTTTGATATTGATAATCTTGTTTTCAATAAAGAATATAACGATTTGGATCAAGATTATTTCTTAATAAAATATATTTAAAATAAATTTTATAAAATAATTTTGAAACTAATTTTACTTTAATTCTCTTATGAGGAAATAAGAACCCAAAGATGTAATATAAAATATCAATAGGTAAATTTATTTCTAATTTGAATTTGAATATGTTTAGAAATGATTTATTTATACTTATAGTAAATTTTAAATTAATCTTATTACTAATTACATCAATTCATGAATTTGGCAAATTACTAATATTATTACTAATCACATCTAACTAAATTTATAAATTTTGAATTTAGTATTCATATTAATAAATTATTATTAATTAGGTAATTTTATAAAAGATCAAGATTTATAAATTTACAAATTAGGAAATTTATTACTAATCATATTTAACCAAATTTGTAAATTTACGAATTAGAAAATTTGAATTTTATAAATTATAAAATAGAATAATCGATATAAATTATGATTTATTATTTATCATATAAATATTTTCTATATATATACTACTAAGTGTATCAATTAAGTTAAAATCTTAAAATGGTAAAAAACAAAATTTTTATAGATGATTTTTTCACACAATGATTACTGTTTTTTATTGTATTCCATGTGTTAATAAATTTATCTGTATACAAAAAAATACAGAAAAAGATATTCAAAAACGTAAAGCTGAATACAAAAAAACAGGAGTAATTCCTATCTGTCAATTATGCAAAAAAAAAACATTATCACTATAGATCAAAAAAATATATACAATGTTGTAAATTATACAAATACAATGATATTGTATGTAAAGAATATAAAGATAACAATATTGAATGTAGTCAAGTAATAATAAGGATACAGAAAAGATTTGATAAATTAAATGAAAAAGGAATCACTTACTCTACTGGAAAACTTGAACCTTCTAAAACTAATCAACTTCACGAGCAAATATATTTACAATTTAAAGAACATCAGACTATTAAGTATATTAAGGAAATATTTAATCATTATTCTATGTATTTTCAAATGAAAATCATAATTATGCAAATAAATTATGGGAAAGATGCTCACTTTATAAGACTAAATGTAGATGTAATTTTTTAATTCATGAAGATATTTGCGACAAATGCAATGAATCATGTATTGGGTTGGGAAAATTTGCAACTTGAATTAATGAAAATGGAAATCAATTATCACCAGAAATTGTAAGACCATTTATTTTTAGTAAATATTAATTTTTAGATAAACCTTCAAAATTTTTTGAGTTTAGTAAAGAACAATTAAATAATATTAATCGAAAAAAAGAAATACGAGATAAAGAATTATTATATAAAGAAGTTTTACAAAATTCAAAATTACAACTATTAGATTGGTATAGTAATCTTTTTTCATATGAGAAAATTACTAAAGATTGAGAAAAACTTAAGAATCGAATCAAATTTATTTCTAAAAAGAAATTTTATCCAAAAAATTTTCTATTTTTTGGTGCTTCTGGATCTGGAAAGTCTACTTTTGTGGAAAATTTATCTACAATTTTAGCTAGAGGAAGAGAGTATTGCAAAAAATCTGTTGATCTGAATTATATTAATGAGTACAACAATCACAAAGTTTTGTTAAAACAGGAATTAACACATAATACCTAGAAATTTGAAGATTTATTAAATCTTTGTGAAAAGAATGCTTGTCCAATTAAGTAACAAAATAAAAAACCAATCAAAGTTGTGACTAAGTATAATATATTTACAGTGCAAGATCTGTTCGATGATATTTTTAGTTTTAGAAAATGTATTTATGATGAAAAGAAAATTCTAAGTTAAGAAAAAAAAAGCACATTATATAAAAGATTTTCAAAATCATCTGTTTACACACATGGTTATATGATTCAATTGTTGGAATAATATGTAATAAAAAAAATTGATTATTATATTATTTGGTTAGAACCTGATAAACTAAGTAATCTTTTAGACTTTATTAATAGCCGATTCGATATAAAATTCGGAGAAGGTTTAAATTTAGAAGAAGCCAAGAAATATGTTTACAATGACAATTTTGAAAATCTATATGAGCATGATGGAAATATTTATATGAAATGTAAAATTAATATGAATTACATTTTAGGTAATGTGATTGGTAATGTTAATCTGGATAATCATAGTTTTAGCGTATATAATAAATACTAAGAAAACAGATACTGTTAATATCTAAAACAAAATATAAAACAAATATAGTATATTAATAAGAGAATAATTTTAATTCTTACTAGAAATAAAATTTACTAGATACTATTTTTCAAAAATAGTATTAGTAAATAGTATTTAAAATGTTTAACAACTTAAAAAACTTTAATTTTTAATTATAATTTATACTTTAATTTTATAATAAGATCTTATATAATAATCAAAAAATATATACTAGTAAAATTTATTACTAGTAATTTTCAAATTTATTCTTAATAAAATTTTTAAATTATTATCCCTTAAATTGTTTTGCAGCCAAATTTGCCTGCAAAATTTTTTAAAATATAAATTTTTTTAATAAAA